TAATAACTCCCAGATCCTTTTCCACCTCCATGCTGACAAGAGGGGAGTTCCCCAGCCTGTATGTGTGGTGCCGATTGTTCCTCCCCAGGTGCATCACCTTACCCTTGTCCGTGTTAAACCCCATCCTGTTCTCCTCCGCCCATCCTTGTAACCTATTTAGGTCTAACTGTAGCCTGTTGCTCCCCTCAATTGTGCCCACATCCCCCTACATCTTAGTGTCATCAGCAAACTTGAACAGGCTGCTTTGCACCCCCTCGTCCAAATCACTGATGAAGATATTGAACAGTGCAGGCCCAAGGACCGAGCCCTGTAGGACCCCACGTCCTTCTTGTTCATTCCTGTCTCTGGGCGGAGTATCACTGGGCAGTCTGCTGGCTCCTTGGACTCATTTGAGGGCCAGTGGGCACTTTCTGGTGTGCTCTGCTTGGTGTTGCTCCTTGGTACACTAATTATTACCCTTTGGCCAGCACTCATGTCCCTCTTTTTCTATTATTTGTCCCCATTAATCAATTGTCACCTTTTCTGTAGCCTCCCCATCTGGGGGAGGCCAATAGGTTACTTGGTGGACCTAGGCCCACGTGACTGAAGGTGACAGGCCAGGCAGCAGCATTGCAGAAGAAAGGCTAGTTTGATCCGTGGAACATGAAGGTCATTCCCAAGAAGAGAGGATCTGTAACACCTGTGGGATGAAGAGTCAGGGGTGGGAGATTATTCAGGTTGGAAGGCCACTTGATGAGGTTTGGTAACCTGTTGAGGATCTCACCACTCTCTCTCTCTCCCTGTCCTTTTCTACCTCTCCCCATCCATCCCTCCCTCCCAGGGCTATGACTAGTATGGAAGCCTGAACTTGCCTGCAGCTTTAGCATGCCACCCCCCAACCCCCACCCCTCTGCATGGCTGGAGTCCACCTGCCTACAGCTTTAGCATGCCCCACTCCCCATTCTGAATCTGGAGCCCTGACCTAGAAGTTGCTGGCTGTGTTTGGGCAGCTGTGGACACAGTCACCAGCTGCTGAATCCCGACTTGGGTGGGGTGTTGAGTAGGGCATGCTACAGTTGTGGATGGGTTCCTGTTTCCAATTCCATGCTGTTGGCAGCCCTGGCCTAGACAGAAAGACTGAGCCCATGGCACACTGGAAGCAGCCTCAGCCACCTGGCAGCACACAGCATCTGGAGCTGCCAGCTGCTCAAGTGCTGGATCCATTTACTTGGTGGGCACTTGCCTGCAGGCCAGATCCAATCAGTTGGCAGACCAGACCCAGCCTGCGGGCCTTTACTCACCCCTGGATTGGTAGATTACAGTGAGCCATGAAGTCACTTGACTCCCTCACTGGTACATCAGCTAGGACTAGCCCTGATACCTGACCATTGTTAGTGAGAGCCAGCAATGAGCAAGTAGGTCTGTGGCATCAAAATCAAATATTATTCATTCAAAGAAGGCCAGCTAGCTGTCAGTTTAGCCTTCTTCTCCACACTGATTGTTAATGCCTGCCCCCAAACTGTCTTTTTCATAGACATACTCATTGAAGAAGTGTCACAGCATCTTATCTCCATTAGCATCTTAGCCTAGCCTGGATTCTGACTGTACCTAAGTTCCATGTAAATTAAGCAAGAGCCTGCATGTAATATTGTGAACCCAGGGATGTAGCCATCCAGCCCATTGCCGGATCAGGGTCTGTAGGTCTTGTCACAACATACTATCTGATGCATTTCTTGACAAACTAAAAATGATTCTTTCTCTCTTTATAAAAAAGAAAACCAATTAAACAGTGTTATTAGCAGTAATTTCTTGTAGACTTGGAGATTTCTAAGGGAGGACATTTTTGCCAAGTTATCTTGCTGTGATGTAGTTCTGTGATCATTTGGGGTTGAGAATGGCTTGGGAAGGCTGTTGGAGGAAGGTGGATTTTGGAGATTACTTTTTAGCGATGTAGTCTGAGGTGGCGGCAGAAAGATGATATTTTGGACCTTACTATTAGTCCAAAATGTTGGCAGGAGGAGGAGAGTCTAGCAATTCGCCAGTCCAACAAACAGACAGAAAGAGCGGGGGAACCATCCCATATGAAAGCCTGAGATGGTATATCTGTGAGAAGGCCAACAGGAGAAGCAAGCAGATTGTTGAGTGATGGTGAAACTTTACAAAACCAGGCCTGTGATTGTGTTGGCACAATTGATATGTCAGAGTTTCCTCCATGTTTATTTCCTTATTCTGAATATAATGCCTCAAGTTTTAAAGTGATATGAGAGTAACAAAACAAATTCAGACTAAATTCTAATTTTATTTACATCAGTGCAAATCCAGATAACTCCATGGGAGTGGGGTGATTCATTGTGGTTTTACACTGGCATAAATCAGGGAGGAGTTTGACATCTTCACTTCATTTTAACCTTATCTTTGTATCTGGCCAGCTATATAGCTTAAATGTATTCTGCTCATTAATCATGCTGTGTTTGAACAAACTACGTAAAAATGATCATCACATTTCTTTCCTTACCTGTGATGTGCAGAAGGGCCTGTCATCCAAAGTCACGTGTGCAAATTTCCAAATTTGACTGGTTGTGTCAGTGAAGGATTTGCAGGAATAGGCTGAAAGGAGGTGATGCCAGGAACAATAACTTGAGAGGTGTTACAGCTTGCAGATTTAGGTGCAAGTCTGTCTGTCTAAATTGGTGCTTATCCTAGTGAAAGCATAGCATACTGCAGAGAGAACAGTACTTAATTGGCTTTTCAGCTTCAATTGCTTGTCTTCAATATAACTACTGAATGATGAGCTTGTCTGCTGGGAGTGAGTGTAATTCTTCCTTAGTGTCATGTTTATAATCTTGAGATGTTCTGGACTGTTTAGTTTGTTTAGCTAAAATACAGTACTGGCAATTGTTCACCCTGTTTTAGGCTGGGCTGAGAAGTTCCTCAAAACATGAAATGGCAAAATAAACTTCTGTGCTATGGATATCATAGTATGAACACACTTCTAAAACTGTAAGATATGTGAAAGCTTTGTTGGGTTTGAGTGAAAAATTAGCTTTATGAAATGAATGTTTTTCCGTTATGTAATGTGTAGCATAGGCTGAGTTACCCAGGAGCCTGGGGAAAACAGTTAACCTCTTCAGTCTCTGCTAAGCCTATAAACACTTTTGATCTGTCTCAACAGGCACTGACATTAATTTATTTGCCTGGAAGGTTCTCACAACCTGCTTCCTTAAACCAGTCATAAGCTTTGAAATGTTGAATTATCTGTTAATTCTCTCAAATACATGTGCAGTTTCTTTGCCTAGTACTGTAGAAGCAGGGTGCTTTTGTATTTTGGGTTTTGGTAAAGACAAAACAAAAACTGCTGACATTTTCTTCAGGCTGGGAGAGTCTCAGTGCTGGTTCCTTCGGAGCAGTAATGATATATATATGTGTGTAGGTGTAGAATGTCAAAGGAAAAAGTACAAACTCAGAATGTATGACTGACATTTCTAGGACAGAAAGTGCTCAGCAGGAAAAGGTGCCTAATTGCTAGGATGATATAGATGACTTAGAAATAGGCAGAAGGTGAGGTAGATTTGTACCTTTATAGATTAAACCAGAGATGTATAGCATAAGCTTTCATAAGTGGAGGGCTTGCTGTATCTTAGAAATATTTAGAAATAGTCTGCATTGAAAATAAGTTAATGGGCTCATTTTGGTTGATATTCCCACATTTTTAGCAACCTGTACAGAAATAGGGTTTCCATGAGCTGGGTGAAATTTATGCCTTGTTTCTAAGCATTTAGAGGAGCAGGTGGTCATTAGGAACAGTCAGTATGGATTCACCAAGGGAAAGTCATACCTGATCAACTTGATCGCCTTCTGTGATGAGATGACTGGTTCAGTGGATGTGGTATACCTTGATTTTAGCAAGGCTTTTGATACGGTCTCCCACAGTATTCTTGGAGGCAAGCTAAGGACGTCTGGATGAATGGATTGTAAGGTGGATAGCCTAGGGCTGAAGATAGTAATCAATGGCTTAATGTCTAGTTGGCAGCTGGTATTGAGTGGAGTGCCCCAGGGGTTGGTCCTTGGGCTGCTTTTGTTCAATAACGATCATCACTGATCTGGAAGATGGTATAGAGTGTACACTCAGAAAGTTTGCTGATGACACTAAGCTGGGGGGAGTACTAGATATGCTGGAGGGTAGGACTAGGGTTCAGAGTGGCCTAGACAAAATGGAGGATTGGGTCAAAAGAAATCACATGAGGTTCAACAAGGAGAAATGCAAAGTCCTGCACTTAGGAAAGAACAATCTCATGCACAGTACAGGCTGGGGGCTGACTGGCTGGGCAGCAGCTCTGCAGAAAAGGACCTGGGGGTTACAGTGGACAATAAGCTGAATGTGAGCCAGCAGTGTGCACTTGTTGCCAAGAAAGCTAACAGCATCCTGGGCTGCACTGGTGGGAGTGTTGTCAGAAGGTCATGGGAAGTGATTATCCCCCTCTATTCAGCACTGGTGAGGCCACATCTGAAGTACTGTGTCCAGTTTTGGGCCCCCCACTACAGGAAGGATGTGGATCAATTGGAGAGAGTCCAGCAGAGGGCAATGAAAATGGTGAGGGGGCAGGGGCACATGACTTATGAGAAAAGACTGAGGGAACTGGGCTTATTCAGTCTAGAGAAGAGATGACTGAGACTTCCCAGGCTAAGGGGTCGGGGCAGCAGATTGCCCCCTCCCTTAGGATGGAGTCTCCCACAAGAAACACTTAACGTTTTGTCTTGACGAGAGTGGGGATGGTAGCTGCAGTTGAGCCTGTGTTGCCTGCGGGAGCTGGCAACTCAGCAGGCTCTGCTGGAGCAGCAAGAGGTGTGTACCTGTTGCTAAGCTCCAGCGGGGCAGGGGACTTGGTGTGGCGGGCCTTAGGGCCCTTGACCACCTTGGTCCATGCCCCTGACTGGACAGAGCGGGAGGTCCCAGAGTCCTCCTTTGTCCTAGAGGGAGACCGTGGTCTACCCCCTCGCTCCCGGGGGAGAAGGGCCTGACAGTAGGAGTTGATCTCCTGCTCACAGTCCCTGATGGCACGCAGTCTCTGGACTGTGGCCTGCAGCTCCTCCAGCTGGCACGCCAGAGACCCCAAAAGGGAGCAGACCCCACAAGGGGAGGTAGCCATGCTCCCTGGCCCCAGAGCCTGAAAAAGGAACAGGCAGCCCACGCAGCCAAGAGCCAGGGGCTCCGTCTGTGTGCAGCCTGGAACCATGAGCTCTGTCTGGGTGGTGGTCTCTGAGGTGCCAGAGGCAGGGGCCGCAGAGCCCGAGGGACCCTTGGGGTGAGGCACGTGCCCAACCATGGCATGCCACTGGTAGGCAGCCTGGGCCTGAGTCTGTCTACCCTAGGGGACTTGGAGGCAGGGCCAGAGCCCTCCTGTGCACCCTCCTTCACGAACTCCACACTAACTCACACGCCGGTAGACAAGCGCCCCTGTTTGCGCAGCCTGTTCACGCGGCTCCGGTCACGTGGCTCCCTGTGGGGCTGAGCCAAGTAGGGGCCTGGGTGGGGTGAGACCCGGCCTGGCTCCAGTCAGCTACCTCCTCCCACTCTCTAAAGGGTTAACTCCCTCCCACCATGGGCCCCGCTTACCTCCAGCTGTGCTGGAGGTCGGCAGGGGGCTCTGCAGCTGCTGGGGGGTCTCCGGGGGCTGTCTAACCTTGGAGGTTTTTAAGACCTGGCTAAACAAAGCTTTGACTGGGATTATCTAGTTAGGGATGGTCCTGCTTTGAGTGGGGGTTGGATTAGATGATCTCCCAAGGTCCCTTCCAACCTACATTTTCTATGATTCTGTGATTCTAGAAGATAGAGATTCAGCTTTGTAAGGGATGTGAAGTGGCATGCAGGCTAGAATATGGATTAGTGGTCTGTTTGGAGGCATAGCTGTTTTGGGTTTTTTTGCTGTTTTTCTCCTGCTTAAGTATCTTCATAAAGGAGGTTAATTGCAGTGAATTAACTTGGGCAGTTAATGGATGGTGAATTTAGCACCAAGATCAACATCGGAGAATTTTTAACAATAAACCTAATCTTGTAAGAAGGGATGGTATTAAGAACAAAGCGTATCTATTTAGCTAACCATTAGCTAACCATTTCAGATTTAATGAAAGTTTAGAACAGTAAATATTTATTCTACAGTGAAGAGAGAAAGTTCATAAGGCTTATTTACTACCATGTTTTCTTACTGGTTTGAGAGTGCAGATATGTAATATTTCTAAAAGTATGAATCATATTTTAAAATTATGGTTTTCTTATCTATCTGCTTTTTGTCCTTTTGACAGCTTTGATTTGTTACTCTTAAATAACAGAAGTATTTTAAATGGAAAAAGGGAAGTGGGTTTTTTTATTTTTAATTTTCTTTGCATATCTAAATTGATCTGTTGATGTGTGTTCTGAGAAGTTAGATTTGACTCTTTCTTAAACCAAGGCAATATGTCAAATACTTTTTGCTATTTTTCTTTTCAGTACCATGTTTGTTTTTTATGATCAGATTTAAAGTTTGGGAAATTGCAGAAGCTAAGAGTTGAAACAAATCAAGCATACCAAAGCAATTAAAATGTTTTCTAACCATTTTTTCCCAAAGACCCTAAATGAGAAACGATCAAGTTTATACATACGAATTGCATGTGTTTTTTGGAAATGGGAAGGCAAACAAAACAGAGAGCTGTTTGGACGAACTGTTTTGCCTCAACATGCCACACAGATTTGGCATGCAGGGAGCCCAGACATAACTTTAAAAAATAAGTCTTTTGTGTTGAATCTAGACGGGCTACATCAGTTCCATTGCCTTCAGAGTGTCAGTTGGCTTAAGTCAAAGGAGCTCTGACAATTTGTACTATTTAAACTGCTGTAACATTTGGCCTGTTTGTTTTGAAAGGTGATGTAGCTCCTTTCCTGTAATTGTATTAGTTCATTAACTGTCTAATGAGAGAAGTTTGCACAACTATTTTAAAAGTTTAATGAAAATAAACTGGAAATGCACAGACAGATCAAAATTTCAGGGTTCAGTTTTGGAGATAACTGTTTGTTTGAGGCAATATTTATAAATCGAAGTATTAAAATTCATTTTAATATTTTTAACAGTATTCAAAGATGGACTTGGCAGAAAGGACAACAAACAGAAGTGAGCAAAAATCCAGGTAAATGCTGTAAATAATGCACCTGTGGATGATTTAGAGAAAGGGATAGAGGATACACATTCATGAGAATCTGCTTCTTCAGGAATCTCATGGAAACTCTTTAGTCAACTGTTGCTGTTTCTTTTCTTTCAAAAAGACTTTTCCAAGGAAAAGATGATTGCATTTGAGTGCTTCTGTGAAAGGAAAGCATTGTGGAATTTATTTGTACACTGTTTTACTTCCTTGGCTTCTTTCTATTTGCTTATTATCAAATCCTCAAAAGGTTTCCTCTGACATCTGCATATTTGTAGTCATTCTTTGAGGGCAGATGGGTCTCCGGTATGGATCCCTTTGAAGTTTAAACTTTAGTTTCTGAGGTTGTCTGTACAACTACACAATGCATACATTTTTTTAAATACTTGCAAAAATTAAGACTACCAGCAACAAGAACATAAATGATAAATTTTCTTGGATTAATTGTTACCCATGGTTTGAGTTAATCTTGGCGTAAGCACAGCATAAGAACAGTATCAAAATATCCCATGAAAATAGTTGGAAGAAAAAGAAAAAACTTATTAGCCTTTTCTTAAATTTAACCATTCATTAGAAAAAAAAAAGAATGTAACTCAAGTATTTTAAATTGGGTTTATAAAATGACACTAGATATGTTGGGAAAGTTGAGCTGTTACTTCTCAAGATACCTTTCTATTTCCAAGGTATTTCATACTTTGGCCAATTATTTATGAGTTATAAGTACCATGCATGTCTAGAAGTAGAAAATACCATATTCACTTGAATACAAGATGAGGGGTTTTTCCTCCAATCAGCATGGGGGGAAAAGCCCCTCATCTTACATTCACATAGACAATGTAACGAGGTTCCTTTTTATCATAACGCTGCTGCCAAAAGCAGCATGTTCTTGCTAATGACTATAAAATACATGGCCCATGTTGGGCAAACATGCTGTTGGAAACCTGTATTTTTATTAGAAATATTATTAAAAACACACTCATCACCCTGCGCTTGGAAAGCTAAACATATTGAGCATCCTTGTTTGACCAAGACTTCATATCACAGAAACAACTACATATCCAAAAAAATACAGCTACATATATTAAACCTTTAAACAACATATATCAACTTCGATTAGATTGCCGAGGGGTGGCACTGGGCTCTTCCTGGCGGAGGTGGGCTGGGCCAGTGCTGCACTCAGACCACTCCCAGCGCCGCTGCCACCCCCCGGAGTGCAGACCCAGCTCAACCCCCCTGCCAGGAAAAGCCTGGTGTCATCCCAGCCTGCAGCAGCAGCCCACCCTCACCCAGTACACAGATCCGGGGGGCACATGCCCCCCATGTCCCTCCAGGGCTGCATGCAGTGGCAAGAGCCACCACCCCCCTCCCCATGTCCCCTGGACAAGCTGCTTGTGGCTCTGTCCCACACCCTGCCCCACCCCAGCTGGGCAGTGCCTGCCCCAGCCCCCCTCCTCCTTCACCATGGGGGGCCTTGATCTGGCCCCCATGCCCCTTCCCACCTCCCACAGACTTACCAGCCAGATGCTGCTCTCCAAGCTGCTGGGCTGGCTGTATGCATGCTGCAGCTGAGTACATGCATGCGGCATTTATCAGCAACATTATCAGCTACATCAGCCAAGAAAGCTGATTGCCAGTAATGTCAGTTTTTCTTTTATTGGTGCTGATATGATATGGACTGATGTATTGGTGTATCTCTATGTATTACCTTTTTCTTCTGTGTCCATCAGGATCCCTAGCATTCTGATTTGTCTCTCTCTTATTTGAAGGCCCAACTTCTGGAAGTCTCTCCAGTTCCCCACTCCCATTATGGTGCTTTTTGATCTATTTAGTTTAGCCCTGATCACTTCTCCATACTCTGATGTATGCTTTAGAACCCTGACTATCGAAAGTTTATCTCTAACTACAACATTTATATCATCCATGTATAGGATACGTTTTACCTTACCCTATACGCATATCTTTATTCTGCTGATGACCTTGAAGAGTGGGAAAAAGCAGGCAGGCACACCACAATAAAGCAGAGAAACCCGTGGACCGCTTCAGGCACCCACCCACATTCTCAAACACACACAGAGGGTTGTTAAGCCTCTATACCCTACCATCCACCCTATTAGATTTGAGGGACACCAAAGAGTTAAATCCCTCTGGAAATTGGCCTACTGCCTCGCCCTGACCAGAGGTGCAAAATACCAAGCAAAACCCCACAAGAACATAAAGTTTAACAAGTGTATTAAGACGAGAACCAACAAAACCAAACACAACAGTATAGACACAGTATACAGTACTATAAACAGTTAAACTATAGAACAGCTAAAGGTCGGACTTGATGATCTGCTCAGGTCCCTTTGGATCCTATCAACTATGAAACTCAATGCCAGTCTGTCACCCGAGGTGGCCGACTATCACCCTAGAGAGCTGACAGGCAGGGCAGGCCTGCACTGCAGCCTCACACCCCTGAGGATTTCTATGCTGTTCCTGCACAAGCAGGTGGGTACTGAGCACCTCAGAAAAGGGACAGATGATACTTTACCCAACCGAGGCGATGCGCAGAAGCAGTTGAGTAGCCAGCAAGTGCTCAGGTGCTCAGGACCCTCCTGTCATTGCTCCCAAACACTGTCCCACACACACTGTTCTCACTTGCTCCACAGTCACTAAATGATGGGTTCCACAACCACAAGTACTCAAATGCTAAATCAGTCGCACATGAACACATGCCAGGCAAAAGAGGGAGAGAGCGTGAGACAGAGCTCTAACTCCAATGACAATGGCCCCAAAAGCTGTGCTGGCCGCTACACTGGACAGGCTTTATAACGTCCAAACCACGCCACCTGTCAATCATGTGCAGATCCAATCATTACTCTCTCCATCAATGCCAATTAAAGTCAATCACAGTTAGGACCATACAAATCAAAGTATCCCAACAACCCAGTAACATAACAACTCATTAACATAATGGTCCTAACTGCCACAGTTCCCCTGGTTACCAAACAAACAACTAGGTCAAACATCTCACCGCACATGCTCAGCTTTCAGAAGTGGGTCATGACATCATTAAGGTTAAGAGTTCAAATGTTCTAGAATACTCCAGCCTCTGGTCATCCTATGCAGGCATAACAATGCAAGGACTCCACTGTCTACAACCTCAGCTTCTTTTATTCTTTGTGCTAACAGTTCCATGCTGCACACAAATAGTAGTGGTGACCAGGGACCCTTGTCTCACCTGTGTGTGGAGTTTAAAGGCCCCACTCAGGTGCCCATTGTTTTGGACTTGACTCTTGGCTTCTGTATGCAATAACCCTTATCCAACATATACTTTTCTCTGGGAACCCCATTTTTCCTAGCATTTCAAATACATAATCAAGATCCACTCTGTCATATGTTTTCTCTAAATCTAGGCTTGCTATAACTGTCTTTGTTTTCCTCTCTTTGGTGTGGGACAGTGTACCTCTGATCACCCTGATTGCTTCAGAGATCCTTCTACCTGGTATTGAGCATACTTGGTTCTCATGCATTATCTTCTGGAGGTTTTTCCTCATCCTCAAAGCCAGCATCTTGGCCATTAACTTATAGTCCACATTAAGGAGTGTCATTGGTTTTGTTTTTCAGGAGTTCCTTTTCTGTTTTCTTAAAGAGTAAGATCCCAACACCTTTTGTAAAATGTTTACCTGGCTCTCCTATTTCGTTATTTCCTCAGAAACATCCACTATAACTCTCACTACCTATGCCCAAAACTTCTCCTAAAATTCCATAGGCAGTCGGTCTGCTCCTGGTGATTTTCCTCTTTTAAAGGTTTTTAAGCACTTATTTTCTCTCCCATCTTCTTTGCTTCCTCCTCCTCTACTTTCTCTTCAGTCTCTTCCTGCAAATCCTTCATTTTCTACCTTTCTGTTTCCTTCTTCTGGTAAGATCTCCTCATCACATCCAGCACCTGCTCCTGCTTTTCCACCCAGGCTACACCTTCTTCTTGCACTGTTTCAAGTTCTCCGTTTGCTGCCTTCACTCTGGCTGAAAAGTATTGAGATCACTCTTGGTTTTTCCCCACTCGGGGTGCTTGTGCTGAGAACATTTTCTCTCTTTTAAACCATTTTTCTCTCTTTTAAACCAGGTTTTTAATTCTTGCCTTGTTTCTTCTAGCTCTTCTCATACCTCGCTTCATCTGTGGCTTCCTTTAGCAGCTCCTGCATCTTTATTTGCAGCGTTCTTAGTTTTTTCGTTCTTTTCCCCATGCATCCTAGGCCTGCCTTCCTAAGAATTCTCTTGTCCTCTTCTTCGCCATCGTCCATCATTTTCTGGTACTCCCAAATATTTCTTCAGTGTTTGCCACCTCTTATACTGTCTTGTGTACCTTTGACATATTTCTTCATCTTGTAACTACCACACATTTAAATTCTGCAGTCCCTTCCCTCTCATGGGGCTCTTACCAAGACTCATTTCCACCTTCAGCATCCAACGATCACTAAAAGCTACATGCATGGTTTCTTTCTTCCTTATCCTTATTTCTTTTGATACAAACACAAGATCAATTCTTGATTGTTTCTTTCTACTTGGGTCTGTTCTAGTGAAAACTTTCTCCCATGCCCACACATCTTTTAGCTACTCTTCTTTTATTGTATTTGTATTTTTTTGCAATTTTTTCACAAATGGACTTTGAAATGCAAGGGAACCTTGCCACCCTTTACCTCCCCTGTACAAGCTGAAGTTTCTTTTCTAGCTGGGAGAACTTTTACAATCTTTGAACGCTCCTCTGCCTGACTAAAGGGTGTTTGGACCTGAAAGCTTGCAACGAGAGAAATTTTTTTGCTACTATTTAGTTGGTCTAATAAAAGATATCGCCTCGAAGCCCAAGAGTTTTGTCTGCCTCTGCTTTTTCGACCAACACGTCTACAACCTATATCCCTGAAACATGGCAGGGATATCCCTTCTTACTAAGTGTTCTACAACAAAGGATAGATTTGGAATAATAGAGTAAAGAGAGAGAATTCTATTACTGGCATGGAGTTTACTGTTGGCTTTGCAGAAAGTCTCCTGATCGACTTACTTAAGAATTCTTGTGCTTACTGTTGTATATCTAATATTGAGGGCAACTGATACAATGTTTTTTGGTTAACTTTTCTTTAGAAATTTTCTGCCTTACATAACTGTGCAAGGAACAATTAGGTAATCATAAACAAAAATACAAACTGAATGCTAAATACTGCTTTTTAAAAGCAAATACTCTTAGATGTGGGACAGTGTATCTCTGATAGCTCTGATTGCTTCAGAGATCTTTCCTATAGGCATCCGCCCTTTAGGGTGAAGGGGGAATACATATAGCCATCATCTTTCATACCACAACTATATATACATTACTTCAGCACTGGCTGACTTATATGTGGATCAGCTGCAACCTTGTTCCCTGGTATTTTGGAAATATCTCCACTGAGTCACTCATGTCTGAATGTGCATTAACTTGTTGGTCAATGGTACCATGAAGTTCAGCAGTCTTAAAAGCACTGTTGAAAAGCTGACTTAGATGGGATGCCCAATTGATAACTGCCAATAAATTGTTTCATTTCTAGATTGCCATTTTGAGTTGAACTGTTGGAATTAAAGATTGAAAGTTGTTTCCTTTTCTGCTTTTATTTTAGGAAGTTTTTAAAAAGTTTAATAAGAAAGCAGCCTCAAGACCTTCTTTGGGTAATTGGGACTGGAGCAAGCGCTACTGTAGTGCCAGGAATACCAGCACTGTGTTCATGGAGGGGCTGCATTGAAGCTTTCATCAAAGCAGCTGAACAGTTGGATGTGCTTCATTCAGAAGATGTTGCTGAATTCTGCAAAAGGGTGATCAGAGACAGAGACTTGCTTGTAGTGGCGCATGATCTTACCAGAAAGTTGTCACCAGTGAGTGCATATATAACACTTACTATTAGAAGGTATTTGTATTAGTTCTAGGTGGAGAGTGCTTTGAGGGCAGCAAGTTTTTGCATTACTGTGGACAACTTATTACAGCTGGACTTTGGTTTCAGCAACTGGGGACTTCTAGGCATTACTGCAGTATAAAGATAGTTGATTATTACTTGTGTTAATTTGAAAGCTATGAAATAAAATAATCTGGAAACTGGGGAAGAGGATTATGCTAACTTTCAACACTCTTGCTTGAGTTATGATAGAGGTTGTCAGTACTGTCTGAACTGAAACAGTGGTTAGTAGTGGTAGAAAACAGATTATTTTGAAACAGTGACAGACCTTGATATTACTGATAGCCTTATGTCTCACAAGCCTATTATTGCTCCAACTCCATTTAGTTCAAGCAAATGTAATTCATATGTCCTGTATCTGACTTGGCTATTGATGGGTTTTATTTTGTTTCATTTTGTTTTGTTTTTGCTTGAGGAGACTTTTTTAGTTTATTTTAATGGATTTTCTCAAATCTTTTATCTAAAACAGTAACTGTGGCAGATTTATCGATAAAGTATACTTTGAACTCCAAATCAGAGATAGACCTACAAATACATATACAGTTCAATCCTCTGAGGAAAGCCTGTATAAGAATGGGTGATATAGCATGTCCTCAAAGTCAAGAAGCTCTAGCTCAAGTCAGGCAACACAAAAGAATGATTTCTAGAGACAGGGACCTGCCATTTAAAACTCTCTGCTAGGAGCCCTCATACTTTTAAATCTAGGGAGTGGTAACTTTAGCACAGTGCTTCTTAACCAGGATGCTCCAATGCCTTGACATGCCTTGATTCTTGCAAGGTGCTGTGGGGTGCCATACAACATTAGCACTGTTAAGGGTGCAAATGTAATTCATATGATAAACCCAGAGATTTCAAATAGGAATCCCTAGTCTCAAAAACATTTTGATCTGTCATGGTCTTTCTGAGTTCTTTGCAACAGAGGACTTGCTCGTTTCTTTTTCTGTAGTTAAAACATTATTGTAAACTAAGAGTTGGAATTTTCCGAAGGATTCCTTGAATCAAATGAGCAGTACCTTGAGTCTGATGATGGGTGTCTTGAGTCTAAAAACGGTTGAGAACCACTGTTTTAGCATGTCAGTTGACCACAAAAGCAGTGGCAGCATATCCAGACAGATGATTTCCTATGTCGGTGGGATCTTAATTGTATAGGGCTTTGCAACATTGAATTGTGAATAGGAAACCAATGCAGTCCATGAAATGTTATGAACCCCTGCCAGTCTACCATATCATACTACAGTAGTTGAAATTGAGTGGCGTGCACTTTAATGTTACAGTTTGGAAGTGACAAAGGCAGAATTAACTATAGAAAACTACAGCAGAGATTTCTCTCCTTAAAATCTATACATTTGTACAAGATGATTCCCTGTCAAGAGACTTTAGAAATTTGAATGAAAAACATTGCAGCTACATAGATGACATGGTCTGGGCAGCTTGAAGCCATTTGAGCTTATCTCTGACTTCTTCTTTGTGTGTTCAGATGCTAATATTTTTAGATACTGTACAATATCCTTAAATAAAACTATTTCTGTAAATACTTTTTTTCCCAAACAACACTGGTATAAATGATTAAGTGCCATACATGTCCTGTTGTGAGCAGTAACAATATACAACACAGGCCATTTGACATGTATATCTTTTAATCTTTTTTTCTTCAGCGCACAAATGACACCAAGCTCAACTTTTTCCGAGATAACATGGAACAACTTATTCTTTAATTTTGAGCAGTCCTTGATTTCAAGCCTGTCTTAAAGTCAGTGCTTAAAGAAATAACTTATTAGGCCAAATGCCTATTTGTTCTCTTCTTAAAATAAATCCTTATTTATGCAATGATTGAGAATATCAAACATTTCTTTAAGTATGTAAAACTTGAAAAATAGTCTTCCTTTGATGCATGCATCTGGTCTACAATTATTGAAATGAAATTAGCTTACATTTTTCTTACAGAAGGTTCTTCAAAACTTGTATCACACCAAATCCTTCTTGTTTTGGGGCTGTGGAGAGACTCTGCATGATCAGATATTCCAGGGTCTCTTTCTTTATACTGTAAAGAATAACATGTATTTAGAACATTACATGTTGTTGCCTAAAGAAAACAAAACCCACTCTTTTAAACTCCAAACAGATATGCTTCTTCATGGAATAAAAATAGTGTCCTATGGGGATTGCTTTGAATATTTCCCTGATTATGTCCAAGTTCTAACTGCTCAAACCTGCAAGCAGTGAAGTCCAGGTAACTTTTTTAATTTTAATTTTTTTTTTTGTGAGAGCCCAAAATAATTTAATTCTCATTAAACTCTTTATATATGTGGTCCTTGATCAGAGATATTACTAGGAGGAGTCTTGAGTGTATAGTCAGAAATCTCTGCTTGTGAGTAACAGGGTTGAAGCATATACTACCAAAATATAACAGAATGTTTTTTACTTTCATAAATTTGATTTCTTGTAAACTGAAACGTAGTTCTCAATTTCATGCCTTTTTTGCTATAAAGTTCTTGTTAGGATGTTTAAATTTTAAATGTACAGTAAAATCCCTATTATCTGGCATAAGTGGGAATGCCGAGTGCTGGTTATGTAAAAATTCTGGTTATCTGAAGCAGATAACGCAGAGCAGGGGATGCGGCCGAGGGGAATACATGGTGGTGGCTGCACATAGAGC